AACAGCTGGCTGACAAAATTCATAACTGGGTACAGCCTTTAGTTTTTTTCACATTTTAGAACTAGAATACCTCTTCCACCACTGGTTCTTGGTGACAGCACTACAACTGGTGCAGATCTGCAGAGGAATCATCAGTGATCTCACTGACATTCAGGAAAGATACCAGTGATATCAGTGTCAGTATAAAGTCACAGCTGTCCATAATGTATGTTTATTGTTCCCTGCAGATGTCCAGAACCTACTGGTGATTGAAGAAGAGGCCCCCCTTCTTGAGAGCCCCAATCTGGAGCAGGAGAACCCAGAAAACCCACATATCAAAGAGGAAGAGGAGGAATTCTGGACCGGTCAGGAGGCAGAGCAGCTGCAAGGACTGGAGGAGGCGGATGACACCAAGATCCCACCCATTAGTGTGCATGTGAAGACTGAAGAGGATGAGGAGAGCACCAGTCTGGAGCAGGAGGACCCAGAGCCCCCACACGTGAAAGAGGAAGAGGAGGAACTCTGGACTAGCCAGGAGGCAGAGCAGCTGCAAGGACTGGAGGAGGTTGATGACACCAAGTTCATGTCCACTGGTGTCCATGTGAAAACCGAAGAGGATGAGGAGAGACCTCAGTCTTCACAGCCTCTTCAGTGTCAGACTGAGGACAGAGAGGAGGAGCCTGGAGCCGAGAGCTCAGCTGGACAGACTTGTTTCAGCTGCTCTGAGTGTGGGAAAGGGTATAAACGGAAGTCGAGTCTTAAAGTGCATATGAGACACCACACAGGAGAGAGACCTTTTGGTTGTGGTGATTGTGGGAAAAGATTTGCCCAACGAAGGATTCTTAGGATGCACATGAGAGTCCACACAGGAGAGAAACCTTTTGCTTGTGGTGATTGTGGGAAAATGTTTGCCGACCAGGGGGGTCTTAAGGTGCACATGAGAGTCCATACAGGAGAGAAACCTTTTACTTGTGCTGATTGTAGGAAAATGTTTGCCGACCAGGGTGGTCTTAACATGCACATGAGATGCCACACAGGAGAGAAACATTTTAGTTGTGGTGATTGTGGGAAAAGATTTCACCGACCTGGGATTCTTACGATGCACATGAGAGTCCACACAGAAGAGAATCCTTTTAGTTGTGGTGATTGTGGGAAAATCTTTTCCCAACAGGGGAGTCTTATGTTCCACATGAGAGGCCACACAGGAGAGAAACCTTTTAGTTGCGGTGATTGTGGGAAAAGATTTGCCCAACGGGGGAATCTTAAGAACCACATGATATGCCACACAGGAGTGAAAACTTTTGGTTGTAGTGATTGTGGAAAAATGTTTGCCCGACCAGGGGGTCTTAAGGAGCACATGAGATGCCACACAGGAGAGAAACCTTTTATTTGTGGTGATTGTGGGAAAAGATTTGCCCAAGGGGGGTATCTTAAGAAGCACATGAGATGCCACACAGGAGAGAAACCTTTTTGTTGTGGTGATTGCGGGAAGAGATTTGCTTATGGGGGGGTTCTTAAGAACCACATGAGATGCCACACAGGAGAGAAACCTTTTAGTTGTGGTGAATGTGGGAAAAGATTTGCCTACAGTGGGGATCTTAAGAAGCACATGAAATGCCACACAGGAGAGAAACCTTTTCGTTGTGGTGATTGCGGGAAGAGATTTGCCCAAGGGGGGGTTCTTAAGAACCACATGAGATGCCACACAGGAGAGAAACCTTTTCGTTGTGGTGATTGCGGGAAGAGATTTGCTTATGGGGGGGTTCTTAAGAACCACATGAGATGCCACACAGGAGAGAAACCTTTTGGTTGTGGTGATTGAGAGAAACTTTAAGGTTTATACACAGCATAGATCTCTTGATGCTTCTGATTATTTTTCTCTTTCAAGAGCACCAGTGGTAGTCAGAGATATCAGAGGTGCTTCTGTTTTGTTCTGTTCTGTTTATTTTTCTCAGCTTGTTGTTGGAAATAATGTTGTTTTATTGAAGTGTAACATCTTTTGAATTCAGTTATTATTATTATTATTATTATCATTATTAAGTAAAAACTCAACCAACCCCCCTGGAGCAGCACTTGGCGACGGTCCAGATGTCCCTCTCCCCGGCGACATGTTCCAGATCCTCTGGCGGGATTCCAAGGTGTTGAATCAAAATGTATTAGTAATGCAGTTTAGTAAGATTCAGTCTGCTCTAGTTGGCTTTGCTTCAAGGTTAGAAGACAGTGTTGATTCTGAAAAGTGTACTATGACACCGATTGTTTTCTTGTATTAAATCTTGTGTTGGTATATTATGTCTGAATGAATGTTTTAGTTACACACCACGTGACAACACACACACACATTGAAATTCTTCATTTTGTTATGGCCAGCAGGTCTATGCAGCTGGAGCTCCATCTCGTGATGTTTTTATCTGTCTGTGTAAGGGGTTAGCCCAAAAACTGATAAATGTATTAGGCTCTGCGGCCAGGGCTCCTCTCTCCAGTAAACAGTGTGTGTGTGTGTGCTTCTCTGGAGGAAGGAACAATGTGGGTCGTGTTTGTAATTTTACTTGTGGTTTAAATAAATCAGCACTAAATGAAGAAAGACGGACTCCTTCGTTATTCAGATCTGTCCAATAAAAGAACTGGGGTATTAACACTACAAAGGAAATGTGTTCTTACTAGTTACACTCATTTTCTGAAAAGCTGCTGTGCTCATGTAAATGATACTGAGCCGAGTAATGAGTCATACTGATCGGTACACACTCTGTTTATAAAGTTTGTGTTGTGTACGAGTGGCGCTAAACACCTAAACATTAATTTTATATCTTTCTATGAGGGCTCCTCCCTCAGCTGTCACGGCTGCTAGTTAGATTTGATATCGGGTCAGGTATTGAGATGCCACATGTTATGACTGACATATCATTGGACCATACAGGCCACAGGATACTTATTGATCAGATGAATGACTGAATTCATTTTGGCAGCAGTAGTGAAAAAGAGCAAGAGGCTAGAAATTCATCACACACTCTCAGTGAGAATATGACTTTTTATTTGAGCCCGAGTCTGACATTTGATTTAAAAAACTCCTGAAGTATAAAATTACATCAGGTAGATTTGCTTGTGCAGCTCATGTCCAGTATCTGACACACAGTGGAGGCCTGATGAGTCTAGATAGCAGAGGTCTAGTTTGTTCCGTACGCGTGTGAATGAAGTGAAGCTGGAGCCTGGACCATGGGCGGACCAGGAGAATGGGCCATGGAACAAGAGAACAGGCTGCGACCCTCTGCGGACCAGGAGAACGGGAAAACGTGCCGTGACCCTCTGCGGACCAGGAGAACAATAACAGTATAGAAAAAAATAAAAGATGCATTATTCAGTAGTAAAAAAAATAATAAAGCATGTCTATATAAAAAACAGTATTCAAAGAAGCAAACAGCAAAGTAACAGTAGAGAAAAGAATACTCGAACTGCAAATGTGAAAAACACATCTAGCAGCTGGAGTTGAACGCCTGCTGCAGAGCTCTCACTCACTTGCAGCCTGTTAATTAATGTGTCGGGGAGCTTGGAGCCGGCTGGCTAAAGCTGCCCTACTTTACCGTTTGTCTGTCCCTGGTGTGCTTGGTCTGGGACTTCAGGATCCACTGGTGTGAGAACTGTCCAGGTCACGTGATTTAAACAATGTGTGTGTTACAGGAGCCGCAGCCTGCGGACGCCGGCCAACTTGTTTGTCATTAACCTGGTGATCACAGATCTGCTGATGGGTGTCTGGGTGACACACACCTTCTTCGCCACCAGCATGCACAAGAGCTGGATCTTTGGAGGGAAAGGTACCGACTGCACACACATCCCACGAACACACAGGGTGTCCCAGCCTCAGCTCCTGAATCTGGATCCAACATACCTGTAAACGCTAGTCTCGTCTGCTCTGTTATTATTGTGTGGTAACACAGCCGGGGGCAGAGATGCCAACATGGCAGGCGGTGATCTGCAGGATGTCTTGGCTGAGAAACTCATGTACCTCACATGTTGCAAGTCTGCAGCTTTGTTTGTTGTCTCACAGCAGCCAGTTTTCCCTGAGGCCTACAAATGCGAACATTTTGTGTCACCACATCTGGAATATGACTTGGATCCAGATCAGACTTTGGAGTCTGGTATATTTCATCCAGATCCATTTGTTATTTTTTGAGTTATTCTGTGAACAAACCAACAAGCAGCAGTGAAAACACAGCCTCCTCAGCCTCCTGCGTTCATCCCTGTGAACTGTCGGCGAGGAAGAGGGAGACAGACATCTTCACCGTGAACACACAACATGTGGGTGTCAGCTACACGTCGATGCTGTTAAGTGAGAATCAAGATCTCGTGCCAAAATTACTGCGAAATATTGCAGGCGTCCTGGTTTAAAGAAGAAACTGGGAGAGGATAAAGAGAAAGAAAGAAAAGTATCTTGGTAGTGGGAAGTATGCTCAGGTACTACTGTATAGTACTGTTTTGAGATACTTGTATGTCGTGTTGTCAGTCCAACCACCAGGTGATTGCCCCGCCCACTTTCTCATCTCATCTGTTTACTTCCTCGTACATGAACCGGCCGTCCTCCACCTGCAGCTTTTTTTGGGATGTGTCGCAGCATCAGGATTGATTATTCTTTTGAACAAAGAATAAACCTGATCGGTCTCACATCAAATAATGAGCTGCTGTATTGTTTTCGGTGTCATACAGGACACAGATGATTTACACATCACTATTTTCACTTTTAGTTTTGACCTTACATACCGTCCCTTCTTCTGATTTGGGGTTGTAGGTTGTAGGTGGTGATGGTTTACCTCTGACTGAAACAGGAAACAAACAGCCAGGTGTCTACTTATATGGGAGCACATTCTCTTAGCTTCTTCGCTGTTGGTCAGACAAAACAAGGACCTGTCCTGGCCTGCAGAACACAGTGATGGGCAGTTTTCATGGTTTCTGATGTTTCAGTGACTAAACAATTAATTGAGAAAACAATTGACATGACAATTACTGACAATAATCTTTAGTTGCAGCCCTAAAATGTGCTTCACCCTGATGACCTGCAGAATTTGAAAAGCTACTTACATATTAATAGATCAGTATTAATTATGCATTAATATATGTCACAAGAGCCATTTTCTACATTATGTTCTTTTCCTTTTGATACTTTAAGTACATTTTACTAATAGCACTGCAGATTCTCTTGATGTTGGTATTTTATTTTCTGACTTTTACTTGTGTAGGGTATTTTTAGATTGCAGTATTACTGTTACCTAAATAAGGGTTGTGATTACTCCCGCCACCACTCAGAGAGACAGAGGGAGCTGTAGCTCTGGACAGGGGAGGAAACGTTCCCATAAATTGCTGTTTTCATGTGGGATTCAACATGTCAGCGGCAGGATTACCTCACTTCCTGCTGCCCAGTGATAACACAGCGGCTGCAGCCCTGGAGAGCAAGCCAGGAAGGGCTTCTAGTTCAGAGGTCAGCAGGTGACATTTGGTGCTGTTTGTTTCTGTCTGAGACTTTCTGCTCTTCAGGTCAGTGAATGTTACTCTGAACATTCATGTGACAGCTGGAACTTCTCTTTATCTTTTAGATTCACATCTGAAATTCAACATGACATAAAAACTACGGCCCGGATCACCGACCAGGTAAAGTCAGCTAAGGCCTCACAAGGCCCGGGGTCAGTGAACCGTGATGATTTTCTTGTAACAGTGGCCTCGGTAGAAGATGAACCTACAGTAATTATAATGGGGCTGCTGTTACAGCAGCTCTCTGCCCACTCAGAATGAGTAGGTGATGATGTGCAGACCTCACTGTTCAGCCTTCCAATGTAATACAACTCCCACCTTTTAAAAATGTCACTTTCAAAAATACATATATCTGTATAGAGACCGATGTGTCAGAAACTATGATATCAGCTGAGGTTGGAATGACGGGAGGCTCTGTGTCACGGTTGGTTTTACCTTCACGGTTTAAGGTTAAATGTTCTGTTTAATTGGTTTCCTTGAAGGTGACGTGACACACACATAATGCACAGCGAGCTGGCTCTGGTGGGTCAGGCCCTCTTTAAGGGACCCGCACAAATGTGGTTTAATCCAGCTGTGCTCTTTGTCAATTGTAAGCATCTGGAAAATGGTGTCTCTCATCCAGTGTGACTGATTTTAATTTAACATTAGTTTAGGGAAATCATGCCTGTTTATGCATCTTGATTTTGTCTTTTGCAGTATTTTCTGCTACACTCATGGACAATAGACCTTTGCCTGGTTAAATGAAGACATGTTTCACAAACAGTCTTAGATCTTGCTTCATTTCATTTTCAAGCTTTAAACAATTTACTTGGTGTCTTTTAAAAACAAACGTCCAATTTGTCTTGTTGTTGAACCAGCGATCCACAGATGTGACAGATATCACAGATGAGTCACTAAACCCTTCTGTGTCACAGCTGCAGCCACACTGACGCTCAGTGGTGCTGAGGGGAACTACCATTTCTCACAGTACTTGATCAGCCTCTTTTGCTGCTGAGGAGTTATTCTCTAACCCTGGCTGTGTTGGTGTCTTGCTTACAGGAATTGAAGCTGCATTTACAGAGGTAAAAAAAATCAGACATCGGACACTTCAGTGTCTGACACCACCAAGGTTATTGTCAAATACCCCTGAGAGCCAGGACCATTTAAACAGGAAACAAGTTTTTTTGCTCAGCTCCTTGAAACACAGTCTAAAACAATCTGTTTATTTTCTACCGTTGCTGTAAAAGCAAACAGGAGCTGCTGTTGTCTGATGGGTCTCTCTTTGCCTCCTGAAGCGGCTCAGTATCTGACAGACCGTCTCAAACGCCTCGTAGACTTCAGTTTCATTTTTAGCTCCTGGAATTAAACACAAGACTTTTAAAAACTTTGTCTATAGACAATTTCAAAATGAGCTGCTGTGGCATTTCACCCCATGATACGTAAAACAGGATGTGTGGATGTAAAGGCAGCGTAGTTACCTTTCAGAGTCATGCTCCCATTTGCAAAGATGTTCAGAGTGAGGCCAGGTCTCAGGTTGTAGAAGACAGCAGGAAAGATCTCTGGTTCATATCTGTGGGCAGTAAGGAACACAAAACCTGACTTGGTGCTCACATCAGCAGAAACCCCGAATCTGTAGCAGCCAGTCTGCACTGTTACTGGAGAGTCAGCCGAGGTGATGACGAAGGCCATGTAACGTCAAGCAGGCATTTAATTCAACCCGACCCAGGACATTCTCCTGACCCTGACCAAGTTTTTGTGCATAAATGAAGGTCTGTGGCGTGATAACAACCTACTGAGCCTACTAGTAGGTGTCTAGGGCCCTAGTGAGCTATGGTCTCAATAAAAAGTGACAATGTGCCATATAACAGTGTGATGTCTGAATCGGGTGGGAAAGCACAACAGTAGGTGAAAATGTCAGCAGTACTTTCTGATGCACATGAAACCCCAGCCAGTGTCTGCTGACCTGCAGTTCTGATGGTGGGCCAGCGACAGCTGCTCCAAACTGACTGGGAAGGTTCTAAAGGTGCCGGACACGGTCTGGATCATAAAGTCCAGGAAGGAGACGGGAAAGCCGAGCTTCTGCACTTTGCGAGCGAACCTCCTGGTCGCCACCCGTGACTCCTGCTCACTGCTCAAACACACAGAGGTGAAGAGGCCTCCTGCGTCATGCTGAAAACTGACTTGTAGCATTAGTATGACTGGAGATAAATGCAGACAGACCTTGTTGCTCCTATACAGATAATTTTCCCAGATCTATAGATCATCGCTGTGGTTCGTGGTTTACGGATCCTCATGATGAGCCTGCTGGGCCACTGAAACAACAGGAGGCTAAATGAACCACTCTGCTAATCAGGAAAGTCAGTAAACCAGCTTGTTTTTCAAGAGGCATGCAGAGGTGCTGGACATGAAGTGGGCAGCTAGTAGGATTGGCTGTGAACATTAGGACCCAATGATAAATTCCTCTGTATACATGTAACAGGAACTATTCTGGGGTGGTGAAGCTGTCACTGAGTGGACAGTTGGATGACTGCTGTGGGCCTCTGATCTGCCTTTCTGATGCCTCGCCTGCTTGCACTTTGACTGAGAGCAGGAGAGTCATTTAGAAGCATCCACTGTGTAACTGTAGTATGTAAGATACTAACACTAGACTTTGACATGTCTACAAAACAGGTCTATAAGGTAAATGTGTGTATAGCCACAAATAGCGTCTGTAGCACCCTCGGGATGTAGCTGCCCACGTTGCTTAGTTGGTAATACATCCTTGCTAAAGTTTCCTCCACAAACCATGAGGAGTTATCTTATGGGGACCAGGAATATTTATAGTAAACTGTGACATTCTAGGTTGAACTTGCTGCAGCATCTTGTTCTGAACCTTTCTCCACGCCAGGATGGTTTTTATAGAGTGTTCACTAAGAACAGTTCATATGGCTCAGGTATGTGCAGGTGTGCGCACCTGTGGATTGTACTCCACGTTCCAGGTGTTGTGAGCAATGAAGTTCAGGTCCAAACTGCAGCCCAGCCTCGCTGTTGCGACCACATTCCTGCACACAAACGCAATGGACATTTACAACAACACCTGAATGCAGCACAACACTGAGGACTGCAGATTTAACAGGAGGGAGTATTAAAACTATAGTACAGCTCATCAGTGTATCTGTAGGATCAGGTGACCCAGTGAGTACTGCGTGTAGCATCAAGAGCTTCAGACCCGTGTGGTGACCTACGTTATCTTTGGGATTATTTTAGGTAGCTCCGTCACATGGTTCACAGGCATCACGAGGGTCATGGGACAAACGGCGGAGGCCCCCTGCTCCAGCGTGGATGACCCACCTGGGAGCTCAGCTGCTGCTGTGGGATTCTGGGAGCTGTAGTCCACACTGGTGCTAACAGTTCCTCTCTCTCTCTCTGCTGTTTGTCTGGGTTCACCTGAAATCAACCAAAGACCTGCAGCGTTACTGACGTTGTCTCTTGTCTGTGTCAGGTCCTCCAGATTTCAGCACTGATGACTCTGTGGCTGTAAACTGACAAAGATGGTATCAAGTCCCAAGTCTGCTGAAGTACAGGTTCATGTTGGTTCATTGAGCATCTTTCAAACTTTCCCCACATGCATGATGATTTTCTTGGCTAATGTACCTGTGTCATCCTGGCACAGTGTCAGGAGCTCATCAGGCAGTAAACAGAGGGACTCCTCCAGCTGTGGCAGTTCCTGCAGTGAGTTACACACATCAGATCAGGTCTGAAAGGATCCGGCTGGTCATATTTGATTTTGTTTTTCTTGTCAACACATCCCATATAAAGATCAAAATCAGCAAGTCTGTACTCACTTTGGCAATGAACTCGTCAATGTATCTTTCCAACGCTGACTCATCCATGATTGGAAAACACTCCAGAGGCCTGGATCAGGTCTGTGACTAAATAACCTTCTCGTAAACAAAAGTTATGCCAGATACAACATATATGTCCTCTCATGTATTTACATTCAAATGGGCTAAGTCAGGAGAGCTCTGTTACTGGGTGACTGACATGTATTTTGTTTTCTTTAAAACGATTCTTTGTTTTCTTTTGTAATTTGATGGTGCTCTGTAAAATGCATATGACTTTATTTTCCTTTGAACTACGTTGGTGTGCAGTCAGGTCTGTTCTACTGTATGTGATGTAAGGCCAGTGTTTGAAGGCCACGATGTGCTAACCCCGGGATGCAGGAGCAGAGCTGAACCTCTCACACTAAGGTGGCGTATTTGAAACATATTAAAGCTCCAAACACAGAAATTCACTCAGTAATTGACAACCATGAACCTGCGAACAGAGTTCCCTGCAGACCTCCCTCTTACATGTCATTAATTCAGGACAAAACCCCAAATCCTCCCCAGTAATGACAAGCTGCAGTTATAGGCAGCTACCTCCTTATACCCTCAGATGTGATTCTACTGGGAAAGTTTTAGGAACCAGTATAGTCTGGCTCTTTGACGAAGTGTCAAGCTTTGTCTGAAATGCTGCGACGCTGGCCACTTAAGACTGACTAGTTTGTCCATTGTATTTTCTGATGCAACTGTCTGAAAACCATGCCAGTAATTTAATGTTAATTATCAATCATCATTGATTTGTTCTTAAGAGATTAGCTACATTTAAACTAATTGTATTGTAGTTCATGTAATAACCATCATATACAGCAGCACACTGCCTGTAACTGTAGGGATGTGTGTGCTAACTTCCTGTATTCACAGAAAAGTTCCTCCTTTCCTTAACTGCAGTATTGCTGCTGGTGTGCTGAAGTCTGGTTCATGGGCCTCTTGAGCTTCATCTCAGTATAATTTATGATCACCTTTGTTTCCTTCTGTAGGCCTATAGTACTGTCTCCAGCTTTCACTGCTGTCCAACTCTTGGCCATCCTTGACACCAGTCATTCTGCCCGAGGAAAGAGAGCCGAAGCCCTCGCTGCTGTGACAACACTGACATGACGTGGGGCAGGAAGGAATGGCAGCAACGGTCCAGATGAACAACTGAATGTTTATCACCAGCATCATCCTTCTTAACACAAATGCCATCATAAGAAACTCGTGAATCAGAAAACACAGCAACACTGTGGGAATATGGCCAAAATCACTTTATTGTGGAAGAAACTGCAGGACTATTTTAGGAATAAAGATTGAGAAAAAGTGTCACCTGCCTGTCAGCTTGTTGATTTTCATGCCTCCACGCCGGCAACAACTGTCACGTACAAGTCACGCCTCTTTATTTATAAGCTCAAGTATAAATACATTTGAAATATATTTATTTCCATGATGCCAGTCAAAATTTACAAGGTGCTTCACAGGAAATACAAAACCACCAGTTACAGGAATTTCAGGGGATGGTAATAAACCAGATGACACAAGGGCACCTCTAAGAAGGTTCTTCAGCAGGGTGGAGGTTTGTGCTCATCTTCCTGAGGTGTGGAGCACAGACACTGGGATCTATCACAGGTGGATCCAAACAGACAGTCCTTATAGGCTGTCATTAGTTCTGCACAGGGCTGCCAGTTTATCCAAAGTGCAGATAATTACACCACCGGCTTCTTCACAGCACAAACAGCCTCCTTCCTGTCTGCAGTAATCGCTGCTTCCAAACTGTCAGCATGAACGTCAGGAGCTTCTTTTTATCGTCCGGTACAGACGGAGGCCCCAGACAGAAACCTAAAGCCACAAATCTTTAGGACATGGAGACAGTTCTGCTCCTCAAACTGTTTTCAGAGCAACTTTTCCTACATTTCAGACAAGGTTTCTCTTTCTTTTCTTTGTTCTTCTGTCCTTCCTCTTCTTACGTTCATTTTCCTGTTTAATTCCTTCTGTCACCCCCTTTCCAGATTTGCTTCCTTCTTTCCTCTCTAATTTTTCCTCTTCCCTACATCTTTCTTCATTCCTTCACTTCCTCTTTTTCCTTCTGTCCTTCCTTTTTATTCCCCTTTATTATGTTCCTCCTTCACTGCACATCCATTTTCCATCTTCTGCCCTTCCTTTCTAACATTTGTTCACTTTCCATTTTGCCTTTCTCCTTTCCTTCCTTTTTTCCTTTACAGTTCCCTTCACCCTTCTGTTTTTCTTCATCTTCCCTTCCTCCTATGCTTGACTTTCCTCTTCCTTCTGTTTTGTCCTCCTTACCTCATGTTGTCATTTTCCAACTCCCGTGTTCCGTATTTGTCTCTACTTATTTTTAATTTTGCATTTGTGTCCATCCTTTCTTTCCTTTCCAACTGAAGTGAGAAAATGGAGAAATAGTTTTTTTTCACCCCGTCCTTTGTGATATACTTGGCAGTAAAGACTGACTGAGGTACCTGAGTACATTTTACCTGTACTACTTGGTCGGCCGAGTTAAACAGAAGCTCCGAGGTCGTGTGCTGGTCCACTCCTCCACTGGGCCCAGCCAATCGGAGCAGGCCGGCGCTGGGCTCGGCCGCCCCCGCATGTAGGACTGGGCGTGAGTGCGGTTAGAGAACCGCGGTGAAACCCGAGCCTGATGCCGCCTGGATCGCTTTATTTTTGGGTCGGTGCCGTTGCATCCCCGGTGAAAGTAAATCCAAATAAAAGATAGTTTTCGCTGTATTGCCTGGAGCTCACAATGCCGCCTGGATCGCTTTATTTTTGGGCTGTTTTACATGGGGCAGGACAAAGACACGTTACCACTCTGAGCGAATGCTTCGGCTCTGGGAGGAAAAGACGAAGGAGGAGGAGAAGCGACATTATTTCTGCAGAAGAAGAAGACTCAAAGACGGTAAAGTTGACTTGAGTGAGAGCAGCTTCGCTTGTGCTTTGTGTGTTGTAAGTCTCTAGACGAGTCCGACACGCACATTACTGGTGTGTTGTGGAAGTGAAGGACAGCTGACCGGATGGGCCCCGACTGAACACCGAAGCCGACGTCCCAGGGACAAAGAGGGAGTCCGGGGGCTCCCGGGACGTTTGCTGACAGGCGGTGTAACCTGGAGCTACGTTGTTACTGCCGCGTCGCTTCTGCTAACGAACTGGCCGTAACAGTAGCCACGTGTGGGCTCTCCTCTGTCTCCTGCCCTGAAACACTCAGGCTTAATATCTGGACAGATCGTCCCAGATAGTTTTCAAATTACTACGATCCCTTAACCTCACGCGTGTTGTGGCAGTATTTCTACCCAGTTAGCAGCTGCAAACTAACCAGCTCGTGACACTGTTTAAAGTAACCTGGCAGTCAGTTAACAAGCCGGTAGGCCGTGCCAACTGGTTAACCAGTCCCTGCCAGCTGGTTAACCAGTCCCTGCTAACGGTACCAGTACCAGCCAGCTGCTGGTCCAACCAACCACCGGGCATGTCAGCCAGTCACTAATGTGACCAACATAAAACTGGAAACTGAAGCGAATCTACATGTCTTCACTGGCATTTCTTGTTTAGTTTCGATTCTCTGTAGCACATCTGAAAGCCGCCGGTGTTAGAAAGGTGTCCTGAAAATCAAGTTTGCTCAGATGTCAACCAGCTACAGCCGAGTGACGTCACGGAGCGCATCATCACCCTGTTGAAGAAGACTCCAAACGTCGGCTTGAGACCTTGTGAAAACGTCATAGATTAGGTGAATTTTAATCTGTGTGGGCATAGTGACAACCTGGGCCATAAACCCTGAATTGAGAAACAAATAAATCAGCTTTTCTTTTCTCCACCTCTCCAAGCGTCTGCACCACACGCACTGAACCAGCACGTCCTCCTCAGCGTGCATTGCCATGTCTCATACCCTACGGTTCAGAGACAGTTTCTATATGCAAACGACGTGTTAAATACGTGTCTACGTCTATTTCTGGCTAAAGATGGGAGTGGACAAGAAGCTCGTGCACGTGCGCCAAATTCCAGGAGCACAAATTTAAATAGCTGAACCAAACAGCGCGCACTCCGCCCGGTCTTCGTGCGTGCACACACCTCTAATCACGGAGCCGCACAGTTTTCTGTATCTGGCCCCAGGTGTCGGAACAGGAAGTGAAATCGGTTCTCATACCTGTTTTTGGAACTCGGATGCATGTGAACGCAGATAAAGTGGGATATATACATGAAAAAAAAGAGCTAAACAATCTAATGACTTAGCTGAAAATGCCTAAAGAGGAGAAACTGCAAACTAAAGATGATCTGAATAGTCTTTTCTTTGAGTTCTGCTTCTTTGAGTGAACTCAGCCATGTAAGCATGATAATATGCTGACCTCTATACATTAAACACTGCCGGACGGTCAGTTTATGAAAACATCACCCCATAGTCTCAGTGATCGCCTCGGGGTACATCTGATAATTTAACCCTGAAGTTTTTACATAATGAATGAGCTGCTCACGTGTGACTCTGTAGTGTGGCACTGGGTGCCATTTATCTCTACCATGCCAGACAGCCCTAAGGCACCCTGCTTGGTGCTGACTGAACTGGTCCTTATGTCTGTATACCTGCAATCTGTCTGTGTATACCACCTTTTGACCTGCACATTTGTTTGTCCTCCGTACTTGTGGGACATTTCACCTCATGTATCGGTTACCAGCTGCAAACACATCAGTCCTGGTGCAGCTCTGTGTTCAGACTCTGTCCTTCTCCTGATCCACAGATATGGCAGAACATGTCTGTGGATTCTGGTAACACCGGTGTTTTGCTGTCATCACGAGACTCTAGGACTTCCTGTGTATTCCAAACCGCAGATGAGAAAGATGACAGCCCAGGAGGGGGAGAGGAGAGGTAAGGTTTATGTTTTAGGTTTTTGCTCCCGCTTCGTTTTCTTTCATTCTTCATATTATTAATATGTGGAAATCACAGTGATATGTATTGAATTATGGAACCTGAATTCCATGGAAAAGCTGCCTGCTAACATCAGAAATCCCTGGATGCAGCTGAGCACCACCATGTTGGTTTGCTCTGCCGCTAGCTGACCACATGAGAGACTATTCTGACGCCCACGTCTACCTGCTGCAGGTTTTAGGTTAAGGACGTGCACTAAATTACACTTAAACCTTACACTTCTCCTGCTTTGAACACATGAAGTCAGCTTCACACCTGCGGCTCTGGTTTGACCAAATCTCTCCTCCTGCAGCGTTCTGGAGATGCTGAGCTACTCCAAGTTCTCGGACCTGGAGGCATGGCTGTGTATGCCATCCTCATTGCTCCCACCCAGAGCTCAGGACTCCATCTGCATCAGCACCACCTCCTCCTCCTCCTCTTCTTCCTCCACCTCCTCACACACGTCCAGCCACTACTCCAACTCACCTCCGGTCTCCTCCTCCTCCTCCTCCTCCCCGGCCTCCAATTCCCGTTGCTCTACCTGCAGTGAGCCAGGAGAGACAGACACGCCGCTCAGGTAAGGCCAGCAAAAATCCCAGCTGAGTCTACTGGGTAGTTCAGACTGTGCAAAGGCTTTTATCAGTCTGCTGTGAAGGCCCATAGCAGATACATCAAATATATCTGAGTTTTACGTGGATCTCCAGCAGCTAGTTGATTTGTCAATCAATAGGAAATTGGCAACTGTTCAGATAACTGATCATACAAGTCATTTTTCAAGTAAAACCTGCCAATATTTTCTGATTTTACGTTCTTCAAAGTGACAATTTTCTACTTTTCTCTATGATGCCTCTGTGCCGGTGACGGCTGCAGGTGTTTACGTGGTGCTGTCGGACTAGAGGGATTTTAGCTCTGCTGCTGTACTTACCTAAAACAGTGATGTGTTCATCGTGGGGTCAGTTGAGCAGAACCATTGCTCCTCTGTGGCTGCAGCTCCTAAAGTATTTGTCTGTCACCATGGTGATGGCAGTTGTGTAAGCAAAGATAAGCCAAGAGTCTGCAGGAGTCCCAGGGGAAACGGTGGTGTTTATAGACTGGGGGAAATGTACTGCTAATATAAGGAAGTGTGGTCATTAAGACTGTGTTGTAGAGGTGGAGGGGCAGTGGAAACATACAGTAGGTCTGGGAGGCTCCTCTCTGTCCTGAACGTGCTCTGTGTTCTCTGAGCCTCAGGCCCGTGTTCAGACAGCATGTCTGAGAGCTAATGCATGCCCCTCTCATTGTCTGCAGGTGTCAAAGAGCAGCAGATGCTGCACATTGGCACTTCTACTCCTGCATGTCTAAACTGAGGCTCACCTTTAGGAGGTGTGCTCTGCAGGCGGAGGATGTTGGCTCAGTCTATTTTCAGCTTTTTCACATCAGTAATACTGCGTACATTAGAGAGGTACTCTCAGGCATCTGAACTGAGTTTACTAGGATGAAGTCGGTCAAGTTGAATTATGTTGCATTAAAACACCTTTTGACAGTCAGAAAAAACCTAAGCGAAAAATCACTTTGGGCTTCGGTAGCTTGTGATCTGGCCGGATGATCAGCCTGAGCTGCAGGCTTGTTTCCCCTTCTTTATTCATTTGTATGTTAGTCGTTCTTCTCTCTGGCTCCGACCAGTTGGTAGCAACTGACCCACTGATATCCTTTTCAGTCAACACAGACTTGGTGGCATGTTTTAGGTGTGAGATTTTACATTCAGTAGTCTGTGTAACTGCAAACACCTCGTCCACTGAATGTTCTGTTCCTCACTCCTGCAGCTTGTTGGAGAGGGGACCCACCTTCCTCCCCTTCACACTGAGGAAGGAGATGCCATTTCTCCCTGCCCTCTCCTCCACCCCTGCTGCAGTGCTGAGCTCGGGGAGGTCAGCAGGAGACCCAGCCTCCCAGAGCGGGGTCAGCATCAGGAAACGTCGGAGGCTGGCTGCCAGTCCTGGAGGACTCCACTGGACCTCTGCAGGTGAGAGTAGCTGGGAGGTGGAGCATTTACATGGGAGTTTAATAGGTGCCTGACAGGACTTTCCCTGGCTGTGATGCTCCATGCACGAACCGTGATGGACAAAATATTAGAAACTGTTCAACAGTAGAAGCCTCTGAATTGACTGCCAGGTTGAGTCACAGCCTTATGAAGAGTTGATTTCTAGCAGAGCATCTGAATGACACTGATGGGCCTTTGCCACTGCAGGAGCTTCACAGCCCATCACTGAAGGTGCAGCCACTGTCTTTGTTCCTGAACCTAAATTGGTGGAACTGATGCTGAATCCTAGTTCCAATTGCTGCCTTGTTATGCAGTTGTCTGTGTAAATGGTAGGTTGTCCTGTAACGTTCAGGTAGTGTGTCCCTAGTCCGGAGTCAGGCTCCTTCACTCTGTGCACACATGGCCTGTCGTTCATGTAACAGTACATGCCCTCGTTGCCTATCTCATAACTGAACACACTGGCCAACAAGCTTAACATAAAAGAATGGAAACAAAATTGTGTCCAACCATTGAAATCAGCGTCTCCTCTGCAGTGATTTACTGCATATCCAAAACCCTCTGGTTTGTAAACCACACTGAAAGGCATGACACAGAGCTAGGACCTTTCACTTTAGCTTATATTGGTCACTGAGCTCCTGTAGCGGAAACCATCCTTGGTGTGGGCCGTGGTGAGTGACCAGTGTGCTAGCAGCACGAGGGTCAGTGTGAGGTGGTACATGTCATGTCAGGAATGTTTGTCACACACACAAACCCGCAGAGTGGGTCTTTACACTGTCCAGAGGCTCTGCTTCCTGTCTCAGTGGTACCGTCCTGTAGCTCGACCCTTCTAGAGAAAGATAATGAGCTTCCTGCTGGAAACAAATCAGATCCAGTCTCAAACTGTCAGATGAACATTTGTAGAAGCTCCACTGATTCACAAGAAAAAGGCTGAAAGAGAGACAGGAATATGCATTTAATCATTTCATGTCCATTAGATTTATATTGCAGCCCTTTGAGAGAGTCTCAAGCCATAGGTAGGGAACCACAGGTCTGTGGCCGCCAGCTTACAGTGTGGTTTCTCTAGTAAACCAGTTTAACCACCATGTAGAGGAGTGTGTGTGTGTGTGTGTGTGTACACCACACCTGGTTAATCTGCCTCAGCTTGCAGCTTCCTGTAATTCAGGTTCATTTCCTACCTCAGGTTTGTTTGGCTAAAGCTCCACAGATCTACATTTACTCAGCAGCTTTTTCATTCAATGGGAGCTCTTCAGTGGCATCCACCAGAGGGAGCCATGGCTCCAGCTGTGTGCACTGGAGATCAGTTCCAGTCTGGTCAGGGTTCACCTAAAACCTTGGGCGCTCGCCCCAGTCAGACTGTATGTCGAGGTTTCATATAGTTAACACAGATGTAGTTGTAGCAGATCAGATGAAAGTAAATCAGCAGGGTCATGTTTTTATAGACCTGCTTCTGCCCGATCTGTCAACATATTTTCCGTTTGGACTCTGGAGTCAGAGTCGGCTACAGACTCATGGACCTGTGTGTAAAGTCCAAGTCTGTGAGGGGAGCTTTAAACATTCGCTCATCTCATGGCAAAAGTCACCTGGATCATCAAAACTAATTTAAACCAGCCAATTAAAGGATCAATCATATTTTACATTCTCAGTTTGCACATTGACTGTTTGGAACGCTCACTCACTGGAGGGTGAGTGCGCGAAAAATTCAGACCCAGATGGCTGACTTCAGTGCAAGTGAATTTATTTGTGCTATACAGATATATACAGTGACAGTGAGAAGGACGACTAAACATAATAGAGAATAAGAATAACCGGGTGTCGATCAGCTAGCAAAACAGTCCATGGAAGAATGAGAATGAGGTAAGTAACTGTGGACGCTAGGGTCACTCCCAGGCTGGTCGGTGGAGGTGGAGAGCGGCTGAGGAGACAGAGTAGAAAAACAGGCGATGAGTAGATTGAGTCTGATGACTGTACTGACCTGGCTGGTGGAGGCTGGAAGGATGGTGAGGCGCAAATGGTCCGGAGGTAGCTGTTCATGGGGAAGGTAGAGAGGAGTAACAGAGTGGGTAGATGCGAGGAAAACAAAAACTGGATATCAAAAATACACACTACTGAGGAGGAGATAGTGGCACTGGCTGTCGGCCTGAGAGCATGGATGAACTGGTAAGAGGAAGGTAAGTGAGCTGGGCTTAAGTAGGGTGAAGGACTAAGTGAATGCAGCTGGTGTTGATTAAGAAATGTGTGGCAGGTGTGCAAGGTGGCATAATCAGGAACCGAAAACGAAGAGAGGCAGGTGCAGCCGAGCAAACCTGACAGTTGTCTGCAGCACATGCTGCTCCCATACTGCCTCCATTCTCTTATTATATTCTTATATATTTTTATTATATTGCTGCATTTGCTGCTTAAAGTGCCTTAGATTTTGTGTTACTTATTTATTTACTTTATATTTCACTTGTATTTTGTGGCATTCATGTGGATGGCAATGTAAGAATTTCATTGTACAGGGAAACACGTTTCCTAACTAATGTCGATATACCTGTGGCAAATTGGCTGCAGAGCCACCTGCTCTGGGATCTAAATAACCTGTAATATTAATGCAAATTCATTTAATTCAGCTTATTAAATAGTTGTGTTTGGACTAACCTGGGAAACTGCTCCAAATACATGAATACAAACATCTAATGCAGGCTTGATTTCCATGTGACTTTATCCATGTTAATGATGTGTCGATGATCCCACATGGGGTCGAGGGACGGTTTCTCCTTGTCCTGCTGACCTGGAGTGAATGCAGCCTTGTCAGGGATATGTCTGCCGTGTTCTGCTTGGTGTTCAGAGAGGAACTCCATAGTTCTGAAGTATCTGCGTAAATCAAGTAGTAATTTCTGGTGTCTCTTCTTTCTCATAACTAAACAGGACACTTGTCTCCTGTCAGCTGCTCCTTAGCAGTCAGGTCAGACCTTTAAAACTGCTGTTTTTCTCGTTCCTTCAGCACAAACCCCCACCTATTATGTCTGTGTGGACAGCGAAAGTCGTGGCCAGAGGCATGTTTTCAGGTTGTCCGTCTGTCCCATATAGTGAATGAGATATCTCAGGAAGGTAAATTTGGCACAAATGTCCAGTTGGACTCAAGGATGAACTCAGATTTTGGTGGTCAAAGGTCACTGTGACCTCACGTCTGTCCAATTCCGGTGAACACCAACCATGAGGCAGTAACTCTAGTTAGAAATGAAATGAAATGAAAGCAGGGGACACACCGTGAGTCTCCGCTGTCTGTACCGTCAAAGGGGACAATTTTTTTTAAATTTTCATTGCAACACAAAATAACCCATTTACAGGACAAAGCACATAACATAGTACATGAGACAACAGACATTAACAAAAGAAGAAGAAGGGATTATTAATTGAGGGTATTAAGTTGTGTGAAAGTGTAGTGTGTGTGTGTGTGTGTGTGTGTGTGTGTGTATCCAAGTCTATGCATTCATTACTTAAGGGAAAATAAAATTAAACCAAATAAATTAGGAAAATGGAGGGGGTATAAATGTAAAGGAATGAAAAGACAGTTTGATAGAACATGGATGATTGTAGTAATAAAACAAAAATAAATGAAATGAACAGATCGGTAAATGATTAGAATAGAGAGGGAAGAGGAAAATAAACGGGGTAGGCAATATTCTCAGTTAATTTAGTTTGATCGATAGGTGTGACATTCAAAACAGAAGCATGGACATTACAGACTAATAACAGTAACAATAATGAAGTAATAAGCAGCTTGTTATATTTCTAGGAGTTTGTGGGATTGTGCGTGGCCTCTGCTTCAGTTGTCTGGTTTAAGTCAAAAGTTGTTAGAAACAGATTCAAAGTGTCAGTAAAGGTTGGTGTATTATTCTTATGGGTGCATGATATTTTCTCTAGTGTGATATATTCTATAAGAAGGTTGGTCCGGTGGTTGATGTGTAATGAAGTTTTAGATTTCCAGTTTAGAAAGACTGTTTTCTTGGTGATAGTTAGTGAGATAAGAAGTGGGTTTTCATATTTAATCGGTAGGTGGTTATCGACACAGTTATCTGTTTACTTGGAGTTTGTCTTATGGATGGTCACGTCGCATGTCAAAACATTTATGAAGCAGATCGTACTACAGACAGCATGGCTGTCAGACATGTGCATCACGTGGCCTGCGTTGATGCAAACAAACCAGGACCACAGTGTTACTAATGGTCTAAAGCCACATGACAGAAGCTTAAAATCGCTCTTAGTAAGAGTTGCTGTATGGCACAGTGAGCCGGTCCTGGGCCCTGTCTCTGGTGTTCACCGCTGCACTTCAGTGAACTGTCAGCTTAGCACACGTGTAGTGGGAGCAGTGGAATGCCACTGGTCAGAACAGGACCTAACTACACTGCGCAGAAACAGTTTCTCCACACGGGGTTTGAAAGTCAACGACGATGCCTGCGAGACCTCTGGGCTTTACAGGTGCACGGCGGCATCTAGAATCCTGTGTGATGCTGCTTTCAGGTGGAGCAGGTGTGACGGCCTCCACAGAGAGGAGAGGTGTAGCTGTAGCAGACCTGCACAGCCTTGTTTCTGCCTGATGCAGAATGTTTGCAGTGGTAACACATGCAGCTTCCACTCAGCCTCCTCATGTACTTTTAATGCAGCAGCTCGGGTGGTCAGACGGCCTGTAGCCTGTCACCTGACAACACACACACACTCTAAATGAATGGAAACGTGAAACCAGCCTAGCTGAAGGAGCAGAACAAGGTGGAGGTCCTGTGTTGAAACTGTAGAGCAGTGCTCAAGTTTAACTTTGAAGTCGTACGTGACAAAATCCCTTTAGTCAAGTCTCCTTTCCCCGTCAGCCTCGGCCTCTGTCTCCTGCTGCTGCTTTCACTTTCTGTCATTGCGTGGGGTTCCATCTCAGGGTAGTGCCAACTGACTGGTACAAGCACGTTTTCATCCACTGCTGTTGTGGTGAAAAGCCCTGTGAACATGAATTGATGTGAGGAATGTTCCAGCCTCCTCATCGATCCACGCACGCTGCTGCTGTTTAACTCGCATCATGTATGTTGGTATCGGTTCACTGTCTGTCTCCTCTGCAGTCGCTCACATTTTGCTTCAGCTAAGTGTGAGAACAGTTGAAGATTTTTTTAGATTTCTCGTGTCTCCATTTGGATTTTGTTTTCACAAATCGGGAAATGTGCACAAAAGCAGGTGGCTAGAAACGTGCCTGTTTCACCTGGCTGAGTGTTTGGCCCATGCTTTAAGAATTCAACATAGAATCCTAGAAATGGACAATATTAAAAAAAGAGGTGAATGTCTCAAACAGGCATTGACACACACGTGGTATGATTGCATTACTGCCAGATTGTCCTGGATGTCACACTTGATTCTGACTGGACAAGTGTCATATGTGAAATAATCTGATGTTTAACACGTGGGACTGTAAACGGAGTCTGTCTTTGTTCCGAGTGCTGTGTTTCTGATGCGTTTTGCTCAGAATGGTTGATTTGGACACAGGTTTGGCAGGTTAACAGACATAACCATTATCATGACAGATGAGTATCTCATCAGAATCCGGCCTCATAAAAAGGATGCAGCATGTTTCAGAGGTTTTCATTAAACGTGTGTATCACAGGATGTTGGGTCCATTGTGTGTTTTATTAGTGTCGTGTTTCTGTCATTTAAACCCTCACACGCGTGTGTCACGTCCTTTCTGTCCTGTGTCTGTGTGTGTGTGTGTGTGTGTGTGTGTGTGTGTGTATGGTGTACAGTAACGGCACTGCTCTCTGGTTTCTCCTGCCTAGGTTCTGTGCAGCAGGAGCTGTGGTCACCCAATCTGTCTCCTGGGTCGGGGAGGAGTATAGCAGCAGCGGGTGGAGGTGCAAGGAGCCTCCCCCTGGCTGAGGGAGGCGGTGCTCCACCGGCGTGGCCCAGTGACCGTGCGGCCTTGAGGAAGACGGTTGACGGCCGAAGTCTGCAGCCGACGGACGGAGCGCAGCGGCACCTGAGACTGCTGAGCCGACTGGAGAGAGGCAGGAAGAAGCTCCGGAGCATCCATGTGAGTCTCATCTTATGTTGGAGTGTTGCTGAAAGTTTTCATTTCATTTACATGTTTTCTACTTAGTAATAAGTTAAATGTCTGTATTCTGAACTGGAGGGAGAAGCAACTCTTTGGAACCGTGTGTTTATTTGGAATGTCCCTCATTTCTTGCTCAGTACGTTTGAGTAACACTCACACATTAGACGTAGGATATTGTGCCATCTTTGTTGTAGTCCAGACATCACACAGTGAGTATTTCATTGTGCTGAAGTCTTCCACCATTTCATTACATAGTTCGGACATAAAAGCGAGAGGATGCAGTGGGGACGATTTCTGGACACAGTCCTATAAAGCAGCGCCGTGTAACTTTTGTCATGGTGCTGCCCTCTGTGGCAGAGCATCCAGAGCCTTGTGATATTGTCTGTTGTTGTGTGGAGACGTGTGTGTGTGTGTTGTGTCACAGCACATTTTTTCCTTGGGTGTCAAACTGTTGATAAAACTCATGACTTCCTGTAGGTATTTCATTTTAGGAGCCTTCTAGCAGATAAAGGCAGGATCCTTGTTTTTTCTGGTACAGTCTGCAAGAACCATTAGGTTTCGCAGACAGAAGCTGAAGATGGAAAACAGCAGAGTAGAAACCAGATCGATATATTATTTTGACTTTGGTACCAGTGAGGGCACAATTCTTCCCCTTCCTCGTAGGGTCTTACTGTTCTTAATTAGTTTATTTGTGCTACAGGCCTTTATGTGAGAATCAGATTTAATACATTTCTTCATGCCTCACCCCAAGGTACTGTGCTGTTGCTCTGTCACGGTTGCTGTTTTGTATTGTTATTTGCTGCTGTGAGCTAGATTCTCAGCGTTCAGACTTTCTTTGTTGACCCTCTGTGGTGAAACTCTCTTGAAGTGTCATTGTCAGAAAAAGATGTTGGTTGTTTTTTGGGTGTCTGCCTTGTGTTTGTCTTGTGCCTTGTTGTGCAGCTCTGAGCGGGGTCTGTGAACCTCTCCAATTACACACTCATGTTGCAGTGAGTCAGAGGCTGACGCATACTGTAGCTGCTCTCCGGCCTGTCAGCGCCGCACTAGATGGACGAATGAATCTGCTCAAATTAGAAACTTTTACTGATTTCATAACATTGTGCTATAAAGCAAAAACGGAGATTCAAAGACTCGCATTGAAAACCTGGAGCCTGTTTGTGCAGAGCTGCTTCAAGCAGTTGTAACTTCTTATTACAGATTTTGAGAAGGACAACAGTTGTTTCTCCTGTTGAGACCTCAGGTTAGTTCTCTTGGTTTCTCCAGGCTGTTGTATCGTGGTAGTTGGTTAAATATCTCAGGAAGATAAAAGGCTGTTTGCTCGGGATGAGAACTTACATCGTGCAACCCACGTAGTCAGTGGACTGGTGCTAATGTGGGCTGAAATACAATCTAAGCTCTGAATACAGTGTCGGCGTGAATTGAGTCAGACTTCTCTGGATGACACAGTGCCACCACGTCGCCTCACCTGTAGGCTCGTAGCCACGTTGAGCAAGCTGGTTGTCAGGGACCGACGCTCAGGATGAACAGTGAACTGTCGGGTTCACTGTCCAAAGAAAAGACAAGTGCTGTTTTGAGTCTTCATGGAGCCACTGTCTGGAGGAAATGAGCCTGATGGCAAACTGTGTGCTGGCCTTTTGCAAACAGCACCATCTAGAGTTCAAACCTCACAGTCACCACATGCCAGACGTGTCGCCCAGGGTCCAAACATCAGATCTCCTCTGTAGACGGTACAGACAGCGGAGACTCACGGTGACTGATGAATCAGTGCTGAATGTGCTTTGGTGTGGGCAGCACTGATGCATCTGATGACTGAGGAAGCAGCCTGCCAGTCTGGCTCCTGAGTGGATGACTGTATTTTATTTTGATGGTTCGTTGAATGTCAAGTCTGTCGCGCATCTTCTGTGGCAGTGGATCATTTCTGTCGCTGTTGGTCTAATTTTCAGTTTGTCAGGCTGTTTAAGGAGCTGTCAACGTCTTTGTCTACCTTAGCACAGTCCTGAAGATGAATCTTGAAGACTTTGGAGATCCTCAGACAGGTCAAAATTTACAACTGTCCAAAACTTATGTTTCTGACTGGACAGCTTGACAACTGATGGTTGTAAATTGTAGCTTACGTAACGCTGTCCTCTGCTAAAGCGTAGGCGCAGTATGTTACAGTTTTTCTCAAATGCTAAAACACATTTCACAAACGTTTCCTCCATGTTCCCCAATGTCTAAACACAACACCCTTTTCTAAAGCTACATAAACACAACCACACCTTCTCACTTCAAAACTCAAACTTTCACACCAAAAGAGCAGCTCGAAGCTTTCAAAAATGTAAACACTATACACATCATTACACACTACAGCAAAACAATTGAAAACACAATGCTCAATTTGTGAGAAGGTTCTTTGTTTCATAACTGCCAATGCATATTTTTGAAACTTTACAGTAATGGATGTTCTTAGATCTCTGCAGAGGATTAGGCATTTAGATTTGAGAGTTTCATATGAAGAGTATAAATCTATAGTAAATTCTGCATGTACACTACTGTAACACAACTCAATGCAAAAACAGAATCTATTGCACACAACAGTACTCTT